GTTTTTATAGCCACTCTCAGGCAGAAAAACTCTACAGTACTGCCCTGCCAGCCCTTTCTGACCGAAGTGTGAGATTCTCCAAATATGGCATACTCTAAATATACAGTATTTCATAATACTTTTTTTGAATATTACAATATGTGTTTCACAAGGTATATTCAAAACAATAATCCCAGGATAAAAAGCCGCTTTCGATTGTGTGAATAGAAATATTTTATTAGAAAAACTACAATTTTATGGCGTTAGGGGAACTGCTCTAAAGCTGATGCGATCCTATCTCTCAGACAGATTCCAGGTTGTTTGCTGTAATAATCGAACTAGTGAACCTATGCTTGCAGAGACCGGTGTGCCTCAGGGTTCTGTGTTGGGCCCACTCCTCTTTCTCATATATGTAAATGATTTGCCGCAAGCATTCAAAAACGAACATGGTATAGAGATCATACTGTATGCCGATGATGCAACATTTGGAATAGCTCTAGAGAGGGGCGTGGACGTAGAGCGGATGCTTAGGAGCGTCCTGGATCGGGCTAAGGCGTGGTTTGTCACAAACCAGCTTGTTCTGAATGAAGTAAAAACTGAAAATCTTTGTTTTGAAACTAAATCTGTCAGTACGGTTGGAGAAACGACTAAAACTAAATTTCCGGGTGTAGTGTTGGACACTAGTCTGTTGTATAATGACCATGTAAATATTTTATGTAATAAATTAAACAGGACAATTTATGCTATACGGCAAATAAAATATACCGTCAATGAAATAGCTGCACTTACAGCTTATTATTCTCTTTTTGATTCTATTCTACGTTATGGACTTTTAGTTTGGATCTCTGCAGCTAATATACATATTGAAAAAGTATTTAAAGGTCAGAAATTTGCAATAAGGTGCATTGCTAGTTCAAAGCAACGTGAATCGTGTAGGCCTTGCTTTAGATCATTGAATACGTAATAACTTAGTATGGCCTTATTATCTATGAAAAATTAATATATGTCAGAAAAAAACATTTCATATACGCATATAGCATATACGCAGTTCACGTACGCTCTCTCCCTCTTTCCTACTCCTTTCAGGTAGCACTCAAACCAACCATGTGATGTGTGGTCCATGCAGCATGGCCAGTTGCATCCCATATTTCTAACCATCGACAAAAAGCGTCTCTCCTTCGTCGCTTGAAACTTCGACGCCCTTTCTATAGAGCGCACATTTCTCCGCAGCTAGCAAATCAATTGGCAGGATACCAGCCACCATCAGCAGTGCATCGGTCGACAGCGTTCTGTAAGCACATACCACGCGCAACACTGTTATACAGGGTGGCCCATAAGTCCTTTGAGCTGGAAAAAAAGGAATAAAACCAAACTGGTTACATTATGAAGAATTATTATATTTTGTTATCATCTTTATTGAATGGGAATTATGTTTTAATAAATCACATCGTCTAAATGTAATCCATTACGATCACGGCACTCATATAAACGACGTCTAAAATTGTCGATGACTGCGCGGCAAGTCAACACTGTAATGCTTGCCATTTCTCTTCGGATATTTTCTTTCAGGACATCAACTGATCGCGGAGTGATGTTGTACACTTTACTCTTGAGGTAGCCCCATAAAAAGAAGTCCATTGGGGTCAAATCTGGACTACGTGGTGGCCAGGAAATGTCTCCTCTTCGAGAAATTACTTTGCTGGGAAAAAGTTGCGTATTATAGCCTGGAAAATTCTGCAACGCTGGTGTCAAAAACTCTTCTATCATTGCTACATACCGCTCCGAAGTAATAGTTAATGCGCGACCTCTGTCGTCCTCAAAAAAATAAGGGCCTACGATGCCATGCGCTGACATAGCAGCCCAAACTGTAACTTTAGGGCTGTGTCAGGGCTTCTGATGCTTACGCCTTGGATTTTCGGGGCTCCAATAACGGCAATTTTGTTTATTTACATGCCCGTTTAAATGGAAGTGAGCCTCGTCCGAGAACAATACATTATTGAGAGAAGAAAATCGATTCAACATTCCATTCGCAAAGTTTAGTCTCTGAATAGCGTCATTATCTTTTAATTCCTGCACTAACTGAATTTTGTAAGCGTGCAGACGTAAATCTTTCCTTAAAATCCGCTGTAAAGATGTTCTGGGTACGTTTAGTGCACTGGAACGCTTACGAGTAGACTGGGTAGGATTTTGACGAACAGACTGTGCCACAATGTTGATGTTTTCTTTAATACGAGTTGTCCTTGGTCGACCCCACAGCTGTTTATCTAACGTCGAACCAGTCTCTTCGAACTTAGCAACCCAGTTCTTAATCGTTTGAACTGTTGGACACTTTGTAAAATTGTGTAAATTGTGGTATTCTCGATATTTACGCCGCGCAATGGTTGCCGAATCATTATTTTGATAAAACGCGCGCACACAAAAAGCACGATCCGCTCCAGTGAAACACTCCATGGCGACTGAATTCCCAGACACTGAAGATACTGCCCCCATCTCGCCCGCGCCGCTCACGCTCACCCGTTAAATTTTATTCAAATTTGAAATTTCAAAGGACTTATGGACCACCCTGTATATAGGGGCTCCGTACAGCATAACCGAGTTTGCCACCGCTGCCAAAATCCAGGGCCTCTCATTACTGGGTCTCCGTTAGATGACATCAGCCGTATCAGATATGCAACGACCTTATTTACCTTTTCAGTGGTGCGCCTTATATGCCCTACCATAAGTGCCCTCTTGTGAAGGTAGCTCTTTATCATGTTTAATAGATAGCTAGGTGTGTCTAGCTTCTCGAGAGATTCGACTACTTTTTGCCATTGTGCAGTGTTAGAGGCATTCTTACCGTCAACAGCAACCATAACACAAAGCTTATTACTACTGTAGCTGCCGTAATGCGGTACTTTCGCCAGCTGCGCCACTGCACTAAGTGCATGTATGTCAGACTTTTCCTTTCTAAAGCCATATTGCGAGGGAGACAGTTCGTTCTTTTCCTCGACGTATTTTCTCAGCCTTCCTTCTATCAGTCGTTCTAGTAGCTTTCCAAGTGAACTCAGCATACTCAGACGTCTATATTTAACTTCTCTATCGGCGGGTTTCGTAGACTTAAGGATGAGTAACAAACCAGTCTCTTTCCTCCTCTTCGGAAAGACTCCCGTTCTCAACTATTCATTCATCACAGACAGCATGACTGCGGGTATCTCTTTAACCAGCGCTTTCACGATCTTATTTGGTATTTTATCTAGTCCTGGTGTCTTACCTGTTTTCAAATGCTGTTCAGTATCCAGGTACGATCTGTTTGTGAGTTTTAGCTTTTTCATGGCTATCTTGTGTGCTTGGCCCCAAACGTCGTTTTCTAGTTCATTTAATAAGTCCATCCACATCCTCTGTTTAGAGTTTACTATGAGCTTTTCTATTTCTTTTTTAGCATATTGATGTCGTTTTTGTACTCGAGCTAGGGCGCTACTTGTTAGTTAAGGTACCATAAGACAATAATGAATAATATTAATGATATTGAACAATCAAAGCTGAGCATCACATTTACGTAGTTTAGCATAATTTTGTCAGAATTTTTTAGTTCTTCGCAAAAACTGCACTCACAGTTGTCCCGTCCTGTATTTTTCCAAGCTTCTGGTAAATAAAATACAATAAAACCGATTCCCTACAACTAAAAACTAAGAGGTAAGCCCGAAAATAAAAATAAGAACGATAAATCAAAGTAAACCACGCAAGAAGCACGATGACGTTTGATACACACGCACATTTCCTAAAACTCTGGACAATCCCACCGTCAAGTCATACCTTACAGGACATATAGTTGTGGTAATTTCAAAACCGGACAAAAGCTAAGTAATGCAAATGACTATTTCATTTCGAATAGCAAGCTCGAGATTAAAAAACAGTATATTATTAATTATGTTAGATATCTGCATGCCACTTTGTCTTACCTATCCATTAGTATAAGCTGATTAGGTTACTATAGTAAAAATCACGAGAGATGACTATTACGTCATACCATAAATTGTACTGAAGTAATCAAGGGACGTACGTCGATGATTAAATCACGTTGTCAGGAACGTAATGACAACAAATTTATATTACGATTTTGCGAAGTTAGGTTATTTCACTGATAATTTTTATTTTCATTTCATTTCGTGGTTTGGAGTGATACCTTAATAATAATTTTAGTGGGAAGTTTTTGTTTTGAAAAAAAAACAGTTATGAGTCGAACACCTTAAGACAGGAACACCAAAGACCAAAGTATTATTCGAAAACAACCTTACCTACTTTAACACCAAAGACCAAAGTATTATTCGAAAACAACCTTACCTACTTTAACATAACCTAACTATTCATCTTTCAAATATGATCAATCATGGAACATGAAAACATCGTCTATCTTTGTTGCATATATGCAAATTAGCAATACAGTTTGTTTAGACAATAAACTTCTGTTTGTCTCTGTCTAACATATCAGAAACTTCATTAAAAATATTCACAAATCGCTGACGTTTGTCTTTACTATAGACTAAAATGATCACGTAATCATCATCTTTCGTGATTTCTACGATAGATGCCAAAATCATTGTTTCTTGCTCTTACTTTACAAACCAAGCTTTTCACGAAAAGGTTGTATTATTAGTTCCTACGACGAAGGAGGTATTGCTGTCGCGAAATATTTTCAAGCCATCTTTTTATTACAGACCTACTGAGATCAATCCGACATTAATCAATAAATTAATAAAAAAAGTTGTTGCAAAAAACACTCCAAATTGCTTATATCTGTTTCAAAAATACATCGATTTCAATGAAACTCTTAGGACCAATGACCATAGTATCACAGAGTTTGATTAGGACGATTCATATTTAACAGTTTCCAATTAATTTATTCAGTAGGTCTGAAGTGACATTTTGCATTTAGCGTAGTTTGCTTGGGGTGTAAGTCCAGAGTGTCCAGTCTTGAAATTTCCTAACTTGTATGGCTGGAAGCTCGTGAAGCCCCCCCACTGTTCTGCGACGTTTCGGTAAAAAGAAAGTGTGTTCAACATTCAACGGCAAATTTTTGAACGGCGGCAGTCTCAGACATCAGCGTACGCGGTCGTACTACACCTGTGCGCCAGTCCATCGTCGTGCAAGTCGAGTGGTACCCCTGAGACACATACACGCTTACGCTCTTGAGGAACTACCGGAACTATTTGTGCTTGGAGGATATAACAATCTTTTTTGGAAAGGTAAGGAAAAATAAAACTGAAGAATCGTAGTAGAAAGCTTTACAGCAGTACCCGCTTCGATGTTACTTTTGAGGGACGTTATACCTACTTAACAATCGCTTTTGGGACAGAAAAGATGCGACAAAATATAGATTATAGATATATGAGTAGTTGTACATTAGTACTCAGATGGAATACGCACTTGAGCTATAGCGTGCAGTGGTTAAAAATAACTAGCATGTTTTGAAATAATAACGAAGCGGTATAATATAATATATATAAGTGGTACTGACACGCTTTTTATCTCACATTCGCCATGTGCTTGTAGCTACTGCTCTTTGGAAGTATAACGAAATTAAGGAATTGTTGAATACATAGACAGCACAGAAGTGTACTGGAAAGATTCATCTCAAAAACGTCCTTCAGAAACCGCGTATTACTGTTTTTGTACTTTGATGAGCATATATATATATATATATATATGAATAGCATTCATTTAAAAAGTAAGAAAGTTGAGGAACAACTGGAAAAATACACGGCAAAAAAGTTGTTCGTACCTCACATTGGCCCTTTAGGAGCCGCGTGTTTGTGCCTTAGCGAACTAGAACTAGCATTTCTTGATAAATGATTAAGTTAGGGAGCAATTGGATACATATACGGACAAAGAAAGTGGTACTGGGAAGCTTTAGAGTAGTACTCATCTCAAATTCGCTCTTTACGATCTGTGCTTCTACTTTAATGAACATATAACTACCGTTCTTTAAAAAAGTAACAAAGTTAATGACTAACTGGATACATAGCTAGCAAAAAAGTAAAGTAGTACTAGGAGGTATTAGAGTTAGTAGTACTTAACTCACATTGGCGCTTTAAGAATCGCGTATTAGCTGTGTTTGTGCTTCAGTACACTCATAACTAGCATTCTGTGAAAAATAATGAAGTAGAAATGAACAATTGGATACATTAACAATGCTATCTTGCGAAGCTTTATAGTAGTACTCATCTCAAGTTCGCTCTTTAGGAATCCCGTACGACCTGTGCCTCTATTTTAATGAACGTATAACTAGCTTGATTTGACAAAGTAACATACTTAAAGATCAACTGCATACATAGACGGCAAAAAAGTAGTACTAGCAAGTTTTATAGTGATACTCACCTCACATTGACCCTTAAAGAACCGCACACTACCTGTGTTATTGCTTTAGAAAACATATAACTAGCATTTTTTGAAAAATGATGAAATTAAAGAGCAATTGGAAACTTAGACAGACAAAGGTGATACTAGGAAACTTAGAGTAGTACTCATTTCAAATTCCCTCTGTAGATACCGTGCACGAACTGTACTTCTACTTTAATGACAATATAACTAGCGTTGTTTGAAAGACTAATAAAGTTAAGGAATTACGGGATACATAGACGGCAAAAAAGTAGTACCTATTAAGAAGTATCCTTGCTTGTGCCTTGGTTAACATATAATTAGCATTCTTTGAAAAATTGTGGAGTTAAAAGGTACAATTGCATACATAGACCAAGAAAGTGGTACGGGGAAGCCTTGGAGTAGTCCTCAAATCAAATTCGCTCCTTAGTCACAGTGCACGATCTGTGCATCGCAATATAACTAGCGTTCTTTGAAAAGGTAACAGTTAAGAAACAACTGGGTACAAAGAAGGCAAAGAAGTAGTGTTTCCTGGCCTTAGGGTGGTCCTTACCTGTATTCGCTGCCTATTATCCACATACTACCTACGCTTGTGCTTTAATGAATATATAACTAGCGTTTTTTGGCAATGTAACAAAGGCGAGGAACATCCAGATACACAAACAGCAAAAAAGTCGTACTAGAAAGTTGTAAAGTAGTACGTAGTAGTATGGATGGACACATCGATTCTGAAAAAAATTACGATGATTAGGCATGAAAGGCATGCTAAGAAGCTTTAAAGTACTACTTACTTCACATTCGTCCTTAAGGACTCATATGGTGCTAATGCTTGGTCTCGAATGGCTGGATAATTATCGTATGAAAAATGGCGGAAGCAATAAGCAACTCGATCTACAAACAGCGGAAAAAGTTATACCTATAGTACAAGTAATCTTTACAGCGATACCCCTCCAACTATCGAATTATAGCACTGTTATACCTGCGTAGGTATCGCCGTTTTAACAGAACCAGAAGGTAAACTACCACAAAATACATAATTTATACGTAGTTAAAAAAAACTAAAACTTTGTAAACTTCTGGAAAGTTTCTCAAACATTTGGCCTTACTTTTAGGAACTCGTCTTCTCAAAAATGAAATAGAATCGGGGTTTGAGCTATCATTATATTAATCATGAATATTTTATGGTACCTTGGGAACTGGTTGCTAAGGCAATCAGGTTCGGGAAAACACGTAAAACGCAAAAATGCTACTCAAAAATTATGGTTTATAACATCCATAATACACTGTGAAGCTGTATATACACTCGTGATCAAAATTAAGTTACCTTTCGAAAAATTTCGAAAATAAGATCTTGCGCTTTTTTGATGTTATATGTCATGTACTTGCACACAAGATTGCTACTATGTCAAGGACGAGTAATTTGGCCCACCAGTATCCATATTTCATACATCATAGGTTTGTTTATACATTTTTCCTTAAAACTTAGAATGACAGAGCAACGTTTTCGATAGGTGTCTCTGCTATCTAGGCGCTGCGTCCGGCGTGACGATTTGGTTGATTGTTCTGTTCGTACTGGGGCAGTGCTTCGGTGGGCGCTGCCGCGTGCCGCGTCTGACAGTATTGGAAGAGGCAACGTTGCCAGATGGACGGTAACTACCGGTAGGGAAGGGAAATAGTGTCTATTGACTAATTGGTCGGTGTTAATATAGCAGTTGTAGTGAGGACTCCAAATTAGCGACGCATATTCAACAATAGAACCTGGAGCTCTATTAGCATTATTGACAATATTAGAAATGTGATAGTCAAGAAAAACCTTCTGACAAATGCCACACCCAAGTCACAAACTATTTCATGCCCTGATAAGACCTTTCCTCTACGGTTATAAGGATTAATAAGTTTTTGCTGCTTTCGACTGAACATTAACATTTAGAAATATTCAGATGCAGTTTATTCAACAAGCTCCAATTTTCAAAATCTGATAACTGACATTACATATAAGTACTACAATCAGTAACGCTGTTAATTTCAAAGTACAATTTCAAGTCATCGGCAAATATCAATATTCTACAAGAGATATTGGTACTTATTTCATTAATAAAAAACAAAAAGAGCAATGGTTCCAAATTCGAACCCTGTAGTACTCCCGACGATGCTGTATAACAAAGGACTTGAAACCCTTATAGGAGATTAATGGTTATTCTTTAAATAAGATTCTGATAAGGACATTGTGTTATTAGTGTAGCCAAGTGCACCTAATTTTTTAAGAAGATTATGAACTGTTGATGGCGGTGCATGGGAATAGAACAGTCAACCTACTTGATGGCACTTTTGGTGTTCTGATACTGCCTTATAGACGGTGCTAGTATCTATCACATTTCTTTTTGGATTCCGCAGTACAGTACATGGTTGGGTATCTTCAGGTGGACTACGGTAATAAATGGTTGCAATAATCTTTCAGACAAGTTCTAACGAATATCCTATCTATCAGAACTAAATGTTGAAAGTCTGTAACCAAACAATTTTTCGCGCTCGTAGACTTTTGTGTTCATATCGGTTCCGTAAACAATTTGCATATGCTGCGTTGTTTTAAAATCCACTTTTACTTGTTTTGCTCGAAACTGCTGGCAATAATTCTTGGCCAATACTTAATGAATGTACAGACGGAATTGCGCTATACGAATACAAGTTGTATAACGTATAACGTACATCTATGAATACGAATCGATATCTAGAAAAATGGCGGGTATTAGAAGAAATTTCAATAATTTTTGAGCAAAGTTATTTAAACGAAAAGAAGTGATTATTTTCCCTGGAATAAAATCTAGTAAACATGATATGTAATAATGGTTACGGAGTAAATATACGTGTTTTAAGTAAAGTTCTCAAAAGTACTAATTACATCCAGTCTTATGGTGAGGCTCATGTCGTTGCAAATTTCCATCCAAGAGATCTGTAGATGAGTGGCTAACTTCTTCTTTGGCCGTAAGATATCCATCGTAATTGATAGGTTCTCCTCTTTATCAGACAATGTCATCGTGGGTGCCCCAGGGATCGGTCTTGGTTCTGACATTGTTCCTTCAACATATTCAACTAACTCCCTTTCTGTACGATCAATCCGATCCACAGCTCTGCTGATGACAGCACTGAACATGCAGGAATTCAGAGCCGATCTCTGCCAAGGAGCTGGAGAAAAGAAGACTAGCAGCGACTGTCAATTTTCAATTCTTTGTTAACTGCTAAATACCCAGTGCGTGTTTGAAAAAGTAAAAAAAAGACAATGATGTCATTTATCAGCAATAAATAAACAACGAACATAAATAAATAAACACCTTTACAATCACAAAAATTTGAAAAAGCACAAACACGAAATAGAAGATCTACTGGAATTCTGAAATGTCACTGTTGCAGAACTCAAAGTTGTAGTATGCTATGTTGATCAAGAAGCATTTTTATTTTCATTTTGAATTGCATTACAGAAGCGAATTCCCTGATAATTGATACCGTTTCTAATTGTTTGTAGACGTTGTTGAGGTAAATTTAACTTATAGGTATTACGCGTGTTGTATGTATCTGTACGTCACTGTGCGTGTTTTATATAAATTACGAATGAACGTTAAGCAAAATAGCATGTTCAACGTTTCAGTTGGATATAAGCATCTCTAAATGGATCCCTAAATCCTAAGCCACAGATACTTTTAACACAACGTCTCTGCATCACAAAAACTTTTTGCATATGTACTGGACCCCAGCTGAGGAGTGCGTAAGACATCTTAGAATGGAAAAGCCCGTAATATGATATCAGCAAGACATTAGCGGAAACATTTTTAAATTTCTCAACAACTATATAAACCTTGATAGATTCTTCATTACATGTAATACATGAGT